CCCCCCCCCCCCCCCCCCCCCCCCCCCCCCCCCCCCCCCCCCCCCCCCCCCCCCCCCCCCCCCCCCCCCCCCCGGGGTTTTATGTCATTCAGTATCTCTTGTGTTCGTCGCTGTAGAGATTGTAATTGAATATCGTTTTTCCATATTGCTTCGGTCATTTTCAGTTTATTGAATGTTTTGTGAATAGCATTGCGTAATTCAGTGGCAGTGACAATGTTGTCTTTTTTGTTGAAAAACGGCACATGTTCACTTATCATTAAACGTATATCATTGGTACAGCTGTCATAAATTTTCTGTACCTGTTTAATATTGACCAGCTCAATGGAACAACCGATCACAATAAGTGCAGCAAGTGCTGCTCCACCAATAGCAACTACAACTCCGCCGCCAGCAAGCACGGTACATTTAATGAACGGACAGAAATGTACGAATAAAGCTGAGAGAAGACCGGTACCAAGTGCCATACTAATTTCACAACCAGTTAAATAATAGTTCCATTTGATTTTTAACTCAGCGCTAATTCTTGCAACTGAATTCGAAACTTGTAAAAGTGGTCCAATCAAATTTTCACATTCAGCTGTACAGCAGTCAAGAAGATGTGACCAAGCTTGATAGTAGTCCTGGCGTTTTGTTGATCCAATTCCTAGGGCAGCATCAATTAGAGTTTTTGTTTCTTTAAAGAATCGAATTTGTAAACGTAGATACGCTTTACGTACTTGCTGCAGTATTACTCTGCATGTTGCACGTGTTTCCTCAGAGATCTTCTTGTCCTTTTCAATATCTTCGTGTAGACGATCGATTAAATTGGTGGTTTGTGTTATAAGAAGTTTATTCATTTCAGGTGAGATCACTTCTTTAGAACAAGCCATTGTAAATTTTAATTTTTAACATTTTTACTTTCAATAAAGAAATTGCGAATAAAAAATGTCTCTGATCACATTCTTTCCGCCTTTATGAAAGAGGACACTCTTCTTTTCTTCCCTCTTTCAAGGTATTTCCCAACTGTATTGTTTATTTTCGCCTTTTTCGGACAGAATAACACAAGTTCTTTTTATCCATAGAGAAATGTGCTTTATTCTCTCCCTCAATGAGAAGAATATAACTTCTTATTTAAACAAGATAAGTTGTTATCATTTGACTAACAATGACACGTAGGTACGTGCATTCATTTTCTCCACAATATTTCACACCATAACCCAGCTGAATAGACCCTTGAGCAAGGTCGAAACCGGTCCTGGGTTGCTCCGTTCGTTTTTTTAAAAAAGTTTTCGAAAAATTCGAACTCTTTTACTCTTTTTGTACGAAAATAAACATTCGAAATCTATCGTTCGTCATGCTTAACGGCAGGATTGTCGCTTTTAGTTCAAGAATATTAACATTACAAGAAGCATAACTGGCATCATCTGGTAATGTAGCCTGTGAACGAATATGGTATAAGTGCACATACCATAGAGAAGTGGAAGGAATACGATATCGTACAGCTTTAACGTGTTTCCAAGGCGCACGAAATTTAAACTTCCCACATCATTTATTTTTGGCTTAATTATATATCAATAGATAGAGTTCAATGAGCTGATCAAGAATATCTACGTTTTAGCTTTAAAACATTGTTGTCTGAGTGTAAAAAACTTCAAAATAATAGAAGGATGTAAAATTTAGAAAAACCCTTCAGTTTTAAAAAAATTCAAATTATTTACTTTTTCATTCTTCTGACCTTTCGAAAGTAATTTTTTCGGCTTCAGTATTAAAACCTGAGATTGAAAATGATCGACGTTGAAGCCAAAGGCCCATACAATGTGGACGTCTTGGATTTCCCCTGTAAAAAGTTCGTAACAATTTTGCAAACCTATCTAGTTATTTGTGTGAAGAGATGAAGCCGATCTTTCGTTAATTTATATTTTTTGGTGAACATCTCAGTAATTTTACTACGTGTAAAATTCGAAAAAAACAGAAGTAGTCGCATAGGATAAAAAGATACAGCATTTGACTCGGTTTTCGCGGCTGACTCCGAATATGATACTTCCCGTGCGTAAGAAGGGACTTCTGGTGAAGAAAAATGAGAATTACGGATACAATTTCGATTTTTTCGCTCCTGATTTAGAAAAAGTGAAATTTCCCAAAAATGGAGGGGAATTTCAGAAAATGCAGAATTTACTTTTAAAGCTCATGTGGCGGTTGTAATGAAATAACAAGGTCAGCTTCGTCTCTTCACACAAATAACTAGATAGGTTTGCAAAATTGTTACGAACTTTTTGCAGGGGAAATCCAAGATGTCCACATTGTATAGGCCTTTGGCTTCAACGTCGATCATTTTCAATCTCAGGTTTTAATGCTGAAGTCGAAAAAATTACTTTCGAAAGGGTTTCGAAGAGTTTAATGTAGCATTTATTGGAATATGATAAGTATCTTGATCCCAACAATACGCATTAATCATTTCATTTTAGTATGAATGATCAGTATAACATATAATCGATATTCCAAAATATTGACCAGATATATCTGGTCAATATTTTGGAATATCTAGATATAAGCAGGAAAAACATAATGAGTAGAAATGAACTAGTGTAACTTCTAGTAATTTTGTCATACAGATCATCGTGAATTGATTTTTCAAAAATTTGATGCCATGTGTCACTTAAAAGATAATACATGGTAATATACGAAATATACCACTCTTAGAAAAGTAAGTTTTTTTAACAGTATTCGTAAAAATCCCCTTTTACTATGCAAACTGCAACAGCCACGTATAACACGTATGAAATTTAGATAAGAGCTGACTATAACTACAGACGTGATCATTAATCATAAAGATTACTTTTGATGCATAGTAGAATCTGGTACAAAAATCACGATACAAACATTGAGAAGTGCTCTGTAGTCCATACATAACAAGAAGAAGAGTAGCGGATCCAATGTTCTCGGAGAGAATTCAAAAGTCACTAAGCGTACTTTTGTCTAGCTTCTTTATCGTATGGTAATATAGAAACTTAATCAAATGGTGTAACTCTCTCTGCAATCCGGCAAGTAATTAATCACGTCCAGCCTAGTTTAAGTCGAACTCAGCAAGAGTTCTTTTTATATTTTTATCTTTTTATATTTCTGCTATACTCTTCTTTAGACCAACTGACACGAAAGGGTCAGTTAAAGAAGTACCTGGAATAGCACCGTGCTCATGCCATATGAGAGTATGTCAGAAATTTTCAGACTACGGATTTTGGTTAAAGAAGCCTAACAAAGACCGAGGTGGTTATCATATTGTAAGTGATGTTTTTGAAAATCGTCCAGCAGCCGAGGCTGGTCTTAAAGTCGGCGATCATATAATAGAAGTGAATGATGAAAACGTTACAAATCTAAGCTAAGATGACTTGAAGAAACGTTGTATTCAAAGTGCAGAAGATAGTGAATGTGTATTACTTGTATTAGACCTACTTTCAGTTAAAAATCTAATAAAAATGAAACATACCACAGAATTTAGCAATAAAACATCAAAATCAATAGGTTTGTTCTTTTATTACTAATTGATGGATTTCGTACTGTTCATTTGCCAAGCAACTTTTAAATTTATTTCATAGCCGACACAGAAATCGTGCATTCTCAATTAACAGGTTCAACAGAAACCTATTTAAATTCATTATTCCGCAGATCTACATCTGCTCGATCGGGAATATCAGTATCTTCATCCGATGCTACAACAAATGTCAAAAACATAAAATTTGAACCTACATTAAACTATTTAGCATCACTTTTTCGATCCCAGACATCGGTGCACACATCAGCATTACGATTAGCATCTATACCAATACCACTCAAAATAATATCTTTGAACACAGCTTCAACGCCAAATACCCTTACAACTTCCAAAGGTTCTGTACAACCAGTAAGCATAACTTGTTGGTATTTTAACAGAAGATTTTATAAAAACGGAATTACTGAGAAAGTTATGATCTGTTTGAATTTTTTCAACGTGAGCCTGGAATTTTTAGAACATCACACGTAACACAGCGATAGCTGAGAAAACTAACGTCCAAACTATCGAAGAACCGTACCTTACAGAGTCCAGTTTCAATGCTATCGGCGAAGAAACGGACACAATGTTATTTCCAACGGATATTGGCCGAGCAGGTAACCTAATCCAACTGTTGAAAACAATGTAAAGAGTGGTTTGCGTTTTTTTCTATTATTAACCGATATAATGTGTTGGATTTATTAAAAAATCGTTTCAGATGACCAATATTCGGAAAATATTGCTGCGCAGTGTACAAGCGGTTTTGAGCCGGACGATTAGCTCTAATAGAAAGTCGTAACAATTTATTGCCGAAATTGAGGGTAGGTTTTCTGCATTCTCAGATATCTACGCGGGATACAGTTTTCTTTTGTTTTACAGGATATGAGTTGAGTTATCGAACTAAAAGAGTAAGTATGCTTTTTAAATCATTTGATATTTGCCAATTTTTTTACTAGTTATGCACTCATATAACGTTCGATAGTATAGCATGAGACAACTACTATCATATTCTATGGATCTGATCGATAGAAAGCGTTACAGACTATCAATATAACTGAAAAATTAACCCTTTCGTTACGGGGCCCGTATATATACGGGCTGAGCTTTTACTGATATCAGTGTCCTCATAATTTCATTTAAACTCGATCTAACATCACTTTCTTTCTTTTTCTTATCTCGCCAACATTAC